GTCAAGCTGGAAAGGGGGTTAGGTTTCTATACAAAATGACCAAATGCACATAGGAGTCAGGACTGTGTCATCATGGGAAAAGTGAGTCCAGGATGAAAGGAGAGATGATGAAGAGTTAGGGTGACACACAGGTAATGTTAGCTCTGATATAAGGAAACAGAGGAGAACAAGTCAGCCACACACAGAAGCAGCTGCACAGTGACTTCTTTGTGCTCTGGACTCAAAACCAAAGTATTTTTAACTGTACAACTGGCTTGTGTTTAATTAAAGAATATTACAAGGAAAGATGAAGTTCCTATGTAGAAGCAATTGTAAAATGGCTCATAACAGAGTCAAGTTATTTAGTTATTTTCTTCTGTCTCATGCTTGGCTAGTCCAAACCCAACCAATTAAAAAAACTCCATCCCTAGCTGTCTCTCAGCAAGATGCTGGTTGAATCAAGGCCCTTGTCTTCCTGTCACTTCAAAGTACATATTCCATTAGCAGAGGGTCAGTGATTTTGTGTTCTCTTAGAAAACACACTACGTTGTTGGAGAATTTACTTTCAGTAGATGTGTTAGCTTCATAAGATTTTATTTTTAAATGCTAAATACTTAAAAATACCTGTTTTACTTCTATTGTCTGAGATGAGGCTTTTAAGGAGTAACAGACACCATAATAAAAGCTAGCGTGATTTTCATTGTCAATAAAAAGGTATTTGCGCGAAGTGCTGCTTTTTCCTCAGGAAAGCACTTGCGTACAGCATCGCTTAGCAACACTGAAATCAGCCCTGACACCTTATTCATCTTTAATATTCAGGTTCAAATCAAGTCTTTCCAGAGATGGGATGGATTGAGTCTTTTAATCCAAGCAAGTAAAAGTTGTCACTTTGCAGTTTTCAACTGAAGTCTGGCAGCAGTATCTAGGTTTTATTTTATCACTTATGTTGGAGTTGCATTTATTTTCCAGTTTAGCCTCTTAGGTCCTGATTCTCTATCTCTGTTCCCACTTCATGTTTTTTTTGGGGGGGTACCAAGGATCAAACTTGGGTCCTTGGACTTGCAAGGCAGAACACTTCATGGTTTTTATTCCTCAAGATGCTTACAGGATCTTCCCTTTATTCGGGGATCAAAGTTAACATTTTTTAACATGGCATCATGGCTGATGATCATGAGTTGGCTCTCTCTTGCTTCTGTAATATTCCCTACCTCAGCCATGTTAGACAACCTGGTCCCCAACATGCTGTTGTTTTATATCACCATTTTTTCAGCCTATCACATTGTTTTCTTTGCTTTGGGAATACTGTTTTCTGGCTAAGTCTTGCTTATCTTTCCAGAACAGTCATGCATTAGGGCAGGGATGCATTCTGAGAAATGTATCCTTCGTAATTTTGTCATCCTGTGACCGTGACGGTGTGGGTATACAAACTTGGGTTTATGTCAGTCACTTCATATGGTCTCTTGATGCAGTTGAGAGACACAGTAAGTGTGACATATGTGAGAACAGTGCCAGCCTAACAGGGCGTATCGTAGTGTTTCACAGTAGATTTTATTGTGTTTTTGAGACAGGGCCTTGCCATGTACATCAGGCTAGACTTGAACTTGCTGTGTAACCCAGGTTGGCCTTAAACTCATTATCCTCCTGCCTCTGTCTTTTGAGTGCCGGAATTGCCAGTGTGTGCCATCACACCCAGTGACTTGTTTTTTAAATTGAGTTTATTGGTACATTTTAGGTGTACAGTACAGTTACATTCATTATTGGGATCCTGTACAGTGACTTTTTAAAAAATAGGTAGAAGTACCACCTCTAAAGTAGGGACAGGAGTATAGTAAATACATAAGCCAAAAAGGTGATCATTTATCATTAAGTATTATGTACTTAATTGTACATAATTGTATGTGCTGTGCTTTTATGTGACTGGTGGCACAGCATTATCACAAACATGTGAGTAGTGTGTTGTCTCATCATATACAATGATCATGTCAGTAGGCAGCAGGAAATTTTTAGCTCCATTATAGGACTGTCTGCATGTGTGGTCTGTTGTTGGCCAAAACATCCCTTGTGGTACAGACCTGTACTTTGTATTCTTAGGGCATTTATCTCTTATGCCTTCAGATTGAGCTAGGGCCTCTTCTGCTAGGATCCTGTGTGAATCTTGGTCATAGGGCTGGATTTTAGGTGCTTACTTTTTTCATCCTAAACTGAGAAATTTGACGGGCAAGGATTCGGTCTTTTGTGCTTATCTCCTTATCCTTTCTGTATGTTTTATTTACTTGAATTTTTTGGCATGTGTGATCAAATTGAATCTCCTCTTCCTTGTAGTAGTATTTCTTTATTACTAGGAGTTTTGACCTAGAGGCTTAGCTTAGAGGCCTGAGACATTTGTGTATTAATCAACAGTTATCTCTTGGACTGCTCTTTCTCTGCCAAGAGCCATGCTGCTTGTTTGCTTTTGTTTGGAGGCCCTAAGATGGAAGCATCAGATCATGAGTAGATATTACCAGAAAGTAGAGGCTGGAAGATAAAAAAAGAAATGAAAGCAACAATTTTTGAAGATGCAGTCTGTGAGAGGCTGTTGCTTGAACATTTTCACAAAGAAAAATGTTAAGAGCTTGTTTTGAATTCATATTTTTACAGCTAATGTAGAAAAATAACTGTGGCTTTGGTCGCAGTATGCCATTCGCAGCAATTTTACTTAGAAATGTACTGAAAAGTTTTTAGTTTAAACTACTTTGAATTTTAGGACAATGTTAGCACGTATAATGAGCCTTTTACGTAGACAAAAGGTTTACATCTTCAACCTCTAAATTGTCTGTGAAGTCAGTGTTTTGCGGGGGTGGTTTTATGGCAGCACTGAGGTGAGTAGGCTCAGGGTCTTCACACAGAGCTACACCTACATCCCTTTTTATTTTGAGACAGGGTGTTGCTAAGTTGTTAAGTTATCCAGGCTGGGTTTGAACTTGGGGTCCTTCTGTCTCATTCTCCCAGAATACTGGGGTAACACATAGCTTGAGAAATCAAATTTAAAGGCTTTCCTTTCCTTGTTTTATTTTTAAAGAATCAAAAATGAGCAAAAGGGAAAAGGAAACTATTACCTTGTACAGTACTTAAAAGTGGGATGGAGTAATTTATTTTAAGAAAGCAAATCCTCCAGCTTTTCAGTCCCATACTATGCATTTAACCTTTTTTCAGTAATTCTATTCTCCAAACATGCTTTGTAAGCACTGTTGTTAAAAATATATAGTGATATGTTCACTGCCAGCTTTTTAAATAACTTTAAAGATTCCTTTTGATACTTAGCTAGTTTTGTTCTGATCTTTATTTTGTTTTTTTAAAGATAACTTTTTTTTGTTTTTTTACAAAAATGAATTAGATTATTTTTTTCCTAAAGTCAAATACTGTAGACATTATTTAGTAGACAGAATTTTCCTTATCACCATTCTCAGGGGTAACTAGTTAATATTTTGGTATGTATTCTAAATATGTGAGTTTTGTTTAAGTATTGCAACATTTTCCCCCACAAATGGGGTTCACACTTTCTATACTCTGTTACTTGTATTTTTCACTCATTAGCACTTTATTTCATGGATATTCTTTTGTGTAGTTCTGTCACAGGTTTTTGTTTTGTTTGTTTTGTAACTAGGGATCAAGCTCAGGTGCTCGTGCTTGCAAGGCAGGCAGTGGAACCACTGAGCTAAATCCCTGGCCCTCACTACAGGTTTTTAAGCAGCTATGTGATATTTCATACAGTGGGTCTACTGTATAATAAGCTGGTTTCTGGTAGGGTGTCTCCAGTATTTTGCTATTGCACATAATTCTTCAATAAACATTTTTGGGTCTTATACACAGTGTGTATTTTTGTGGGATGATACCTAAATGTGCATGGTTGGCAATATTATAAGTGTAAAATGTGGCTCAGATTTAAAGATTAACTAATTCTTTAAGACTTTCAGAAATATTTAACCATAATGATAACTCTAATTTCAGCATGAACTTTATTTAAAGGAGGAGATAGATTCCTTTACTAAAGGCCTAGTGAAACATTCAGGGAAAGGTTTTAAAATTGTCTTTCTCCTCATGTTACAAATCTGAATTGTATGTGATAATGTAGAGCCTTTGAGACAAAACATCATTTGGTTTGCCTGTGCTTTGAAAAAATAAATATTTTTATTCGTGGAATCTCTTTGATTTTATTATTTCATTGGCTAGGGATATTTCTTGTGATAAACCACAGTGTGCTTATTTTAATTCTAGTTTGTATAGTAGAGTATCGGATGGAAATAAAACTATTCTGTGGCATAATTTACCTTTAGAGAAATGCATAAAAGTGGCTCTATAAATAAAGATGGAAGCCCTAGACTGTTATTTTGTGTACATATTGTAAGTTCTCTTTTGATAGTCTTGAAAACATCTGCATTGTACCTTGTTGAATAAAGGGAAGCTTATAGTTGGTCTGGTTGAGGCAGTAAACCTGGTTTTAGATTCTAAGAGTAGGTTTCTAGTCATGTTTTGAGGATCTTTCCTGGTGCCCCACACAAGTAGGTATTTAGTGCTTCTTAAATATTTTCTCCATTTAAGTCAAGTTCTTTCACCTATGTGTTCAAGTCTAGCTCATTCCAGTTGGTTTTATAAGTAGATATATCAAATTGCTACTTAAAATACAGATTTCAGATTCATATTCAAAAGACAAATAGGCTCATGATCTTTATTCTAAGCTCACATTAAGCCATGCATAGTGATATAGACAAATGTTGGAAGGTGGATATTTGTATTTAGTATAGAATTTAAGCATTTTAGCTTTTTATTTGATTTTATTTTATGGCAGTGCTGGGGATAGAACCCAAGTCTTTACTCATGCTAGGCAAGTAGTCTACCACTGAGCTACCTCCCTCCCATTTTATTTATTTTTCTTTATTTTAAGATTTCATATTCTGTATAGTCTAATTGGTACATGTTTTCAAGAGATCATATTTTTGAGACTATAGTAGCTTATTTTAAAGAGGATTTTTTTTCTTTTACAGAAAACAGGCATCGTTGTGGGTCCAAGGTGACATTTTCCGATCCAAACTTAAAAACAGACCATTCAGTGAAGGAAGCATTAATAAGATTCTTTCTAGCTTGGATGATATGTCTATTGGAGGAGATGTATCTAAAATCCAAAACATGGAAAGGTTTGGAGAGGTGAGTTTCCCTCAGGAATATTCTGATCTTTGTTGTTTCCCTGTCAACACATGTAACACAGCAGTATTTTTCTCTTAAGATACTGAGAGGACCATATTGTAAGGTGTGGAGTTATTCACCCGTAAAGCAAGAAGCAGAGCTGAGAAACCAGTTGCCCTTAAAAAGAAAAAAAGCTGTAATTTAAGGAATACAATTAAATTCTGATATGATGAATATTTACAAAAATGAAACTCTACTTTGAAAATAGAGACATCAAGAAAAATTTTAATGTTATGATTGAAGTAACACATAAGGGAGTAGCAAGTGATTGTTTGAAAGCTTTCAATTCATGCTGATTTCTAAAGTAGTGCTGAGTTGAAAACATAATTAAGGGCAACTCGGCTTTTTTTGGGAGGTTTTACTATAAACAAACCACTTGAAATAATTGTTATATGTGGTCTGTTTTAATCTTTGTAACTCCCTGGGCAGTTAGATAATATTTCCTCTGTTTTATAGGAAGAACTGTGTATCAGAGGTATTCTAACTTTGGTGTTGAAACATGAGTCAGTCCCTTTCTGATCCCAAACTCATGTTTTTGTTTTTGTTTTGTTTTGTTTTCTTTTTTTTTATTCCATTACCTCTAAAGAAACAGGAGGTTAATTGAATGTTTTTGGAACCAGAAGCAAGCTTGTCATCATTTGCTCTATGCCTTTTCTTGTATGGATAGGATACCAGGGGCCCAGGGACCAAATCTGTGACTTACCCAAGTTCCCAGAATTGTTTGTAGTGGTGTCATTTCAAGAACTGGGCATCCAGTTCCTAGTTCAACTCTTTGTTTCATCTTGTACCTGGAGGGAAGCTAAACACTTAGTCCATATTTATATATACCTAAAGCAAAGAGGAAAAAAAACTGTTAAAAATTAGGCAACAAGTATAGATCTACATGCTATCGACAGTGACCCATTACAATCAGACTTGGGCCTTGGACAAAATGATGTGGCTCAATGGTAGCCCTCAAGGAACCAAAGTGGAAGAGATGACCTAGCTCTCTTAGGTCACCACTTGGAGTTCCAAAAAGATTTCTCCCAGCAGCGAAGAGAGTCAAAGCACTTGGAGTTGGGCAGAGTTAGGTTTCTTCAAAGACAAAAGGTGGAGCCTACTGAATGAACTGAATTTTTAGTCCTGTGTGTGTTCTCTAGGACAGCAACTCATAAAGTGGCAAAGTTTTCTTGTTTGATTTGTCCTGATGAAATGTAAATCTCAGCCAAGATTATGTTGATGTTCAAAGTGTTTGCTGACTTTTTCTGGTCTCCGTGTTACAGGCTAGCCTTTCAAAGCTAATAGAAAGGATCTGGACCATATTTTAATGTGATAGTATTGCTAAATAGGAACATGTTTTTCTTGATCTTGTCAACGTTGTGCCCCAGGTTGAGGTGAAACATATAGGGCTTTGAGTTGTGATCTCTGAAAAGACAAACATAAAATTTGTCTTTCTGTCGGAGGATCGTACTTAGCTCACAAGAATATAATGGCTTTTTATATTCTAATCTGTATTAGGTTGATATCTGTTGTTGGAACATTCCATTCTTATCCTTTTTAAGCCCCCTTTTAGTTTTGCTAAACTTAAAAGGAATTGTCTTATTACTGGAAGAGTAAGGAACGTAATATGATTGAAATTTTAAATATGTCAGTTTTAAATATAAGCATATATTTACCTGTTGACACTTTTTTTTTTGTTTTTTGCTTTTTTTTGGGGGGGGTAGCAGGGATGACCTCGGGACCTTGCACTTTCAAGGCAGGCACTGGAACCACTGAGCTAAAGCCCCGGCCCACCTGTTGACTCTACTACTTTTGCCCCCATCCTGTCATAGCCCTCTCCACCTGCTGCAACAAAATACATAAACTAGGTGGCCTATAAGGAGCAGAACTGTATTTCTTATAGTTCTGGAGGCTGGGGAATCCAGGATCAGGATGCTGGCAGATTTGGGGTGCTGCTTGTTAATTGATGGCATAGTCTCCCTTTCTCCTCATGTAGTGAAGGGGCAGGAAGGGGAGGAATCCCATTATGAGGGCTCTGCTTCGTAATGTAATCACCCACAATGGTCCTACCTCTTACTGCCATCATTACGGGCTTCAGATTTCAACATAGGAATTTTGGGAGGTTTTTGATGGGTAACATTGTACTCTACCAAATATTTTAGCCTTAGCCATTAATAAATGCCATTCTTTCCACTCTATAGGTAGTTGATGCTTGGTGTGAGTAGCTCTTTTTTTTCCCATGCTTGTCTGGTGCCAGCCATGGGACACTGCATAGATAGGAGATATTAGTTTACTCAAAAGTGGACTCAATAGAGTTAGATTAAAGATGATGCCTTACTATTCTTGTAAATTATAAGAAAAAAATAAATGAAGGATACTGTGAGGATTTTATTGTGTTTCAAGTTCTGTACTAGTGTAATTGTGACAAATCTTGAAATATAGAGGCTTTCCCTCTTTTGAGCCAGATACTCAGTGCTGGTGTATACATACGAAATACACATAGCCCCTGGTGTATGTAGCGTAGGCTCCCTGCTCTGTTCTCTTCCTCCATGGTCTTATTTTTCCCTGTCTGCTAGGTGACATGCTCTAGAATGGTAGAAGTGTTTATCTATTCTCATGGTTCTATTCCTGGGCCTTAATAGGTATTATTTGAATGAATGAAGGAATCTTACTGTTTCACAGCAAAAGAAAAGGAAAAAAAAAAGAAAGAAAACATGGAATAAAACAACAAAGACACAAAATTGGTAATAATGTATTGTACAAGGACAGTGTATGCTTAGTACAAAATAGTAACAGTATTTAGTGCTCACTTTGACATTCATGGGCACAAAGGTCTAATGCAGATGGGAATTATGAAAAATGGCCTGAAGAAAATGGAATTTAAAGCCCTTTATTTAAAGTGTGCATATTGGAGTTAAACAAGGAGCATGATGTGTGTGTGTGTGTGTGTGTGTGTGTGTGTGTGTGACAGCAGCTACTTAACACCTACTATGTGCCAGGAACGATACTAAGTAGTTGACATGGATTAGGTCCTGTAATCTTTATGGTATCCGTATGCTGCAGGCACTAGTGTGAAGTCCACTTAGAGACTACATAATTGAAGTAGAGAAAGGTGAGCCAGCTCTCCGAGACTGAATAGTATGTGGCAGAGACATCACTTAAACCCAGGCACACTGGCTTTGAGTCGGTGCGCTCAGCTATCCTAGCAGAGCCCACGGCCTCTCGGTCAGATTTTTGGTGTGGCTTTAGTCCATTATTTCCAGTAATTTTGAACAGAACGGTGGCAAGATCCTTCTAATAAATTTCTCCCATAACTGGAATGTTTTCTACTTTTCCTTTTTCGACTCTATGGCTGTATTCCAATATTAGCATGCCAATCAGTAGAGGCCCTTGACTTAGAGATATTAAGTAGACACAGATGTTGCTAACGTTCAGCCAAATTGACACAAATTGACAGCCAAGCAGATAAGAATATAGTGTTTTGATTACATCTTTAGATATTGTGATGTATAAAATCCATCAAACATTTATAAGCAGGGTATACCTCAGAAGAACCCATGAAGTTAAATTGAATTTCTAAGGCTCTACTTTTAAACATCTTTTCCCCGCTTTTAGGCCCAGAAATGCCACGGGGAGTCACCAGAGGCTGTTAAACATGGGGAATACAGCACACAAATGTGCAATTTGGGGAGGGGTGTCTGGCTGTACTATGGGGGTGCTGGAGTCCACATGGGGTTTGGGTTGGAGGCCAGGGAGGTGGTGATGGGGAAGTGGTCCAGGTTTTCAAGATCCTGGATAATGGCAGTGAGAAGACAGATGGTGGGCGGGTGTGTGTGTGTGTGTGGGTGTGTCAGAGAGCTTCAGTGGTCTCTAAACACCTTTCAAAGCCAAGTCATTTAAGTCAGCTGAAAGTTTAATTTTGACATCTATCTCCCAGCCCTTTGAATTCTATTTTTGCTCTCATATGTATTTCAAACTGTGTCATCTTTCTGTGATCCCTCTTTCGTCTTTATCCCTCAAGTTCTGTATTTTATCTAATAGATCTTTTCTTTTTAAAAATTTATTTAATAGCACTGTACGTGTTTGTAGTACATTATGTTTACATCCCATGTGTGTAGTTAGTACATATACATAACATCTCAGTTTCTCTTTTCATTTCCTTTCCCTTTCCTCCTTCCTCTCCCCCTCCATCCATTTTTTCATTTTCTCCTATTTTTTTCTTCCCATTTGAGAAAAATCTGTCTCTCTACTTCCTATTATCTTTTATTTTGCCCTTTACTTATAATTCGGGTTTCTTGTATAGGGAAAACCATGAGATATATAAGCTTGTGTGTCTGATTTATTTCACTTAACATTATGATTTCAAGGTGGATCTATTTTCTTATACCTTTCTAAAGTTTATCTTTATGGTGGAGTAGGATTCCATTGCTTATAAATATGACATTTTTTATCCATTCGTCTGTTGATGGACATGTGCACTGCTTCTAAGATTTAGCCTTTATGAATGGTTCCTTTATACACATGAGTATGCATATATTACTGATATGATGACTTTAGCTCTTTTGGGAAGATATCTGGAAGATGAATAACTGGGTCATATGGAATTTCTAGTTTTAGTTTTTTGAGAAATCTCCATACTGATTTCCAGTGTAGAAGGGTTCCTTCCCCCTACCTTCACCAGTATTTGTTATTATTTGAATTTTGCACAGCAAAAGAAACAACCAACAAAGCAAAAAGACAACCAACAAATGGTAAAAAAAAAAATTTTGCCAGCTATTCCTCAGAGGACTGATATCTAGAATGTATAAAGAACTAAAAACTATATCCCCCAAATAAAAGACCCAATCAAGAAATAGGCAAGTGAAATGAATAGACACTTCAAAGTAGAAGGACAAATGGCCAATAAGTAAGTGAAGGAAATGTTCAACATTGCTGGCAATTAGAGAAATGCCAAATTAAGACAACACTGAGATTCCATCCTACCCCAGAAAGGATGACCATCATCAAAAACTCCAAGAGACCATTTCTTAATGATACATTGTACCTCTCCAGTAGCTTTTCTTGTCATGATTTTATTTATCAGCAATTCCTTTATTCAACTGAAATATGAGGATATGCTATATTTTATTTTGATTTTCAGCTTGTCTATGTAGAAAGAACAATGGTAGAATAAAGTAAAGCTTTATTCTTTATATTATTATTCTTTAGCTATACCATCATCGGTAAATAAGTGTGTCTTTGAAAATTTTACTCCTTTAGGTATTTTAATTTGCTGTGACTTTCTTGCCTTTGTACTGGATAATCTTGTGTCTGAAGGAAAGACCCCAGCCTGTCAGTTATTTTATCTTGTAATTTTGTTAAAAAGTCATTGAATTTGCCACACTGTCACCTGTGGTATTTATTGGAAGCATATTTGTGTGGTCTGTCAAGGCAGCCTGTGTTAGGCTGGGTACTGTGGCATGACTGTGTACATCAGAGTCTCTGTTGTGATCCACGGTAACAAGCAGCTGCTTTGAAGCTCTACCATATCCACATTCGTGTTTTTGGATTTGGAATTTGACCAGTATATTTAAATGGCAAAGAGCTCAGCATTCTTTAGTGTATACTTGAGTAATGCTAAATTCATAGCCCATTTTAAAGACTTAATTTATGTTAATAGTATATAAAAATATCTATAAACATAGATCATCTATAATCTGTTAGGACATTTGTAAGTAAAACTATAATGACCTTTGTATGGAACATTATTTTTTCCTCCCAGAATAATTTAGAAGAGGATGACGATGTGGAAATGAAAAATAATATTACCCAGGGAGACAAACTACGTGCCTTAAAAAGCCAGAGACAGCCTCGCTCCTCACCATCCTGTGCATTTAGGTAGATCCATTTAAAACTTTTAAAGTCATAGTGTGCTTCCATTTTCGGATAGAATATTTGATTCTCTCCTTCAAATACCATTCTACAGATACCAAGCTTACCTCATATTTTTTGATTTATAACTATTTTTGTTGTTTAGTTGTTATATATTTTATCACTGGTGGAAGTAGCTTAATTTTAGAAGCTTTATTGAAAGTAACCGCTGCATCTCACTCTGGAATTCTACCTTAAGATGCTAGTCTGCTATCTCTAATAATCTGTTCCAAGTTCTACTCAGAATTCTGCCTTTCTCCCGGGACTGGGTTTCTAGTCTTGTGACAAATCCTCACAGATGTGCGAAGGATTTTGTATTGAAGCCAGAGTGCAGCAGAAAAGAATTATATGCTAAGCTTTGGTATAGCCCACTAATTCCTCAGCTTTACCTTCTGCTTTTGAATAAAATAAGTGAGTCTTATGTGTACCTGTTAAGTTATAAACCATCATGCTTTTGAAGTCTGCAGATACTCATCAAAATCAATGATGGAACTTGACTTTTGACCACAACATTTGAAATCTGCTGATAGTTCACATTGGGTTAAAAAAGAAAAGATTTCGTGATCAATGTAGTTGAAAAATTGCCAATATTAAGATTCTTTACTGCAATACAAGGAGTAACAAGGCCCTAGTCCACAAAAGAATATAATGGAGACTATTTTTCTTTGACTTATCAGTGAGATATGCATAGCAGAAAGATCATTTTGCCTATGTGGTAGATATCAAATGGATTCACAAGTATTTCATTTTTCATGTGTTACAGCATTTAGTTCAAACCGAATCTTGTGAATTTTCTGATATAAGAAATGAACGTTCATTTTGAGGCTATGATTTTCTATAGGACAAGGACAGAATGGGCTGGCAAGCCTGGTGTTTGGTGATAACCACTGACTACCACTACCTGATTGAGGACGAGTACCGTTTCCTGAGCACCTTGCTTCTTAAAAGCATCACGCTAGCATGATGAAGTCATTTTGCACTCTGAGTGGATGCGCTACTACTGTTATTTCTAATTACAAAAAGCAAGATGCTATCAGTGGCATTCAAATTGAAATGAAATGACTAAAATAGGTTTCCTGCTGGTTCTAGGATTTATTTGATAAAGTAGATAAATACAAATATCCACTTGCAAGTTTTTTCTCTTTTGCCAATTTAACATCTTTATTGACTTGACTCCATGTGATAATGCGTTTCGGTGTGTCTTTAAATGTGTGACCCTGGTGGAGCTTGAGTACTTGTCTTTGATTTCTGCAGGTCAGATGATATGAAAGGACACCCAAGAGCAGTGTTCCAGCCTTTCAGGTACTGTTAACAAGGTTCAGTCTGTAGTAGCTTGTAAATAAACACATGCTACCTTTTAGACACAAGCCGATGAAAATACACTGTGCTCAGCTTTTTGCTTTTGAAGTTCCTTCCTTTCTGTTCTAGATAGTTGCAGTACACTTTACTTTTACACTTGATCATAGCCAAAAGGCCGAGAAGCCTACACTTTACTTTAGTGCTCACCCTGCAGAGGGTTTTCCTGACATGCACCCTGGGCTGCATGGCTGTGATGGCGATGTCTGTGTGCCCTGTGCTCCCAGCGCATTGCGGGGTTTCTAGTAAACTGCTGGTGCTCTGCAGCTTTCCTCTCACTGCAAGGATAAGGTTGGCCTTGATTGTTTTTCGTTTCATTTGTCTTCTTTCCCCGTTTTTGCATGTTATTGGTTCAACTTCTTTATTTTGTGGTCTTACTTCCTTCCCTTTCTTTTACTGGAGGAGGAAGCACTAGTTGGAAGTGTGAATTGAAAATGTCCCCTGTATATTCCCGGAGTGGTACCAGGTACTGGTGGTGCCAAGATCCATTCCTCAGGGCATGGTGAGGGCAGTAGAAGGGCTTGGCCAGAACTGTTGATGGAATAGGAGAAAGAGGCCCATTCAGTCTCCCTCATTCTTACTCACCCCAAAGTTTAAAATTGTCTAGTGGAGGCTGCTCTGAGAGGGCTCCAACTTCTCTCCAGCTTGTGTTCCTCCTTTGTACAACTTCTCCCATTTTTGTTTTGAGGCAAAACATGGCAGGAGCTGCTGTTAGGAAGGTAGATGAGAAAGGAAAGTGCCTGCAAGCAAACCAGCTCTTTGAGCAATAGGAAGACAAAGTCCAGCTATTAACACAGTTTGTCCAGATAACATAGGTGGGTAATGAAACCGTGACTGGGCCCTGGCTGTCCAGATGTGAGCCAGTGTTCACTTTGTGCCCATTTGGCTGATGGTTATTGAGCACCGCTTTACGTCATATGCCCAACTGGGAGCTGCAGGGGGAGAAAAGGGGCTTATATGGGGAAGGGCTGTGATTTACTTTGAGAGCAAATGATGCTGAGACAGGGTGCTTTCCCTGCTGTGTGAGGTAACGGCTGACAAGGAAGCGAAAGAGGAGGTGGTAGGAATGTCAGCTAGAGGTGGAAGGTGAGAAGGGAAGGGAGGTGAGGAGCTGAGACGATGTCCTGGCAGGAAAGACAGCGCCCATAAGCTGGACAAAGGTGTGAGCGCAGTCCATTCTGGAAACTGTTCTGGGTGGCTGCCTTGAGCTTGTCTGTTCGAGAGAAAGGAGAGTAGCATGGGCTGAGAGGCAGTGCCAGGCTGTACAGCCAAGGAGTTTAGGCTTTATGGGCACAGAGGGAAGAGTGAAATGTTTAAACACTGTCCCGACATGATTTGATATTTTAGATTTCACTGAAGCCTATTCATAATATGAATTATTAAATAATAAGACTGAAAGATGATCCTAGTACTTGAGGATAAGAAACTGTGATGGCCTTGGCTGGGGTAGTTGCAGGGCAGAAACAAGAGGATGGGTTTGAGTGGCACCTGAGGACCTGCCGGAGCATGAGTGCTACTGGCAAGGAAGGAGAGGGACAAGGACAGCAAGTCACAGGTAAGGGTAGGACTCTCAATTCAGCCCAGGGAACTTCGGAGAAGGGACTGTTTTTTATGCTCTGTCTCCTGCCTTGCACAGTGGGGACGGCTATATACACAGCCCCCTGGGGCTGTGAGCATGAGCTGCACGCACACCTCCCAGGTCTTCAGCCAGGCCTGGCACAGTTAGTACTGTGTCGCTGTTGGAGGCTGCTGCTCTTACCATTGCTAGAACCTGTCATGGTTTCAATAAGACTGACTTATCTTATCTTAGCTTATTGCTAAATATTTAACAGAACACAGCTTTAGTGTGACACTTTGTCCGTTTTGCTCTACAAAGATCAAGTTCTTCCCCACAAGGACCTGTGTCTACTTTGAAGACTGCAAAAGTGGCTTTGTCCCCTTCGGCGACAGCCAAGAGGATAAACAGAGGTTCATTGTCTTCAGGAACCGGAGTAAGAAGGTAATTTTCCCATCCCCCTTCCAAGATACTGGCTTGAGGTAAATGTAGGCCTCTGAAACCTAGATCAACTCCCAGCTCTGTCACTTGCTGACCGGGTACAGCAGGCAATGTTTTTGGTTTTTGTTTGGTCAGAGGAGGGAACAGGGCAAAGGGGAGAAACGCAAAAGGCTGGGATCTCCTGGAACTTCTGTTCCTAATGTGCTTGTAGAGATTAGGCTGTGTGGTAGGGAGAACACTAGAGAGCATCCCATTCATCTGGTAAATCTCCAGCTTGCTTAATGTGATCCAAAAGAACTGGAGATCTCTTGCACATATGAATGATAAATGCTAGTATCATTTCTCACCTGAGGTATAGAGATAGGCAAAAACTAAAACTGTTAGGGATGTTTGATGTGGTTGTGCTAAAATTTGTGTAAGTTAAATCTTGTATTTAAATCTGTTTTAACCCTTTCCTTACATTACTGTACTTGTCCTTAACTTCATGCCTCAGAACTAATAGAACCCTGCGGTGTTTTGTTTCAAAACCTCTGGTCAAAGCATTTTACTTAGCTTCTTTGGTCTTAATGAACTGATCTGACCAAGGCATTTGTCGCTGAGGGTGATGAAGAAGCCATTCTGTCATCATTTGCATTGATCAGCATCACATTCTCCTGATGAAGCGTGTGTCTTAAGAACACTAGCTCTTCATGAATCTCCATTGTTGTGTGTCCTTTTTTCTCCTCACTTGTTTTCTGTCTAGCTTTTCCATAAACTCCCGGCTAGCCAGTTCTCTGGGGAACCTGAATGCTGCAACAGATGATCCCGAGAATAAGATGTCCTCACCCTGCAAGACAACTTTTACAGCCAACCCATTCACCAACCTCTTGAATGGCAGCTCTCAGCCACCGGCCAGGAACTACCCTGAACTCAACAACAATCAGTACAACCGGAGCAGCAACAGTTGCAGCGGGGGCAACCTGAACAGCCAGCCTGGTCCCCACGGAGCCAAGACTGAGCACGTCTCTGTCATCCGGCCCTCATACACTGGGCTTTCTTCCTCTTCAGCAAGATTCCTGAGCCGGTCCATCCCTGTAAGTTCCCAGACACCATCTGTTGGTCCTCAGAATCCTGAATGCAACTTTTGTGCCTTCCCTTCCCACCAGAGGCTTCTACCAAAGAAGCTGAATAGTGTCAAGGAAGCCTTCTGATCACTGCCTCCCTCTGTACTGTGAAACTCCTGGCTCCTCAAGTAAATGCTGAGTTTCAACTGGGTTTCTTCTCTTTTTCTACCCCTCCCTTCTTTTTTAAACGATCTCTCTTAAAAGGGAAACAGCTTTTGTCCGTTCACCATGCATACTGTTGACCTAAATTCCTTTCCAGTTAAGTTTGCAGATTGCTCTGATATCTGATACAAAGCCAGTAGCTGATTGATGCAATTAATAGCATTTGCTTTGCTTGTGACAGTATTAGGAGTTGCTGCGGCTTTTTCCACATCCTGTGTGGTCAGGGATTGGATATGGAGTGTTGGCATGGGAACAGTGCTGAGTGAACAGTATTTTTCTAGAACTGGCCAGCCTTTGATTGTTCTACCCCCTTCCAGAAACTTACCCAGAATTAGGTGGCAATGAGGCTGTTTATAAGATAGATTTATAGGTAAGTACTTGGGATACAAGGGGAGGATCAGGCAGAATATCAAGAAAACGATAAAAGTTAGCCATCTGTCTTCTAGAGACAGGTCAGAAGGTCTCCAAAGACATCTTACTGATGAGATCTTTATTTAAATTACCAGGCTCCCTTTTTAATGATCAGCAGTCTCTGTTACAGTAAAGTCCATTGGCCCAACCCCCTGCTATAAGGTTAATATTTTGTTTCCTCTAAGCAGTATTGAGATCTGTAGGAATGTAAGCTTTCGTTTGAGAGGAAGAAGGACAAGTGGAAGGAAAACGAGGTTCCACAAATCCGGGAAACACGAAGAAGGGAGACACGATGATCACATTTGAGCAGGAGCAGACCCATGTCCCGGGAAGGCCCTGCCTGGCCTGATGCCTTTCACACCCACGATTCTGTGACCATTTCCTCCGCATCATCCGAGGGAGGCTGCTTTCTGCAGAGAAGATGATGAGGGAGAAGGAATAGCTGGTGGATGTGCTGCTTGTGTCCCACTCGGCAAAATAATAACTCTTGGCAAAAGAGAGCTGTTGGGACTCCCTTTCTTAGTGTGTGTGTGTGTGTGTGTGTGTGTGTGTGTGTGGTGTGTCTGTACATGTGCACTGAACTCTTTGTTACTCCCATCTCTATTTGGTTTCTTTTCAGAAATTTTTCTCCCTCTATCCCCCGTGCAGTCCTTTCCCTAAGTCCCCAGGAGTTCTAGCACAAATAGGGTTCCCCATCTGATTTTATTCCCAATGCTTTCTAGCATTCTTTCAGATTTCTTTGTGGATGAGGGCACTGAATAACTGCGAGCCCACTCACTCCTCAATCTGATTCTAATTGCAGCATGTAAATTGAGTAGATACGTACCGTAAAGACGTAAATCTCTGTAGCCGAGGATTGGATGTACAAGGCTCGTGTATGTACATTTTTCGTAACTGTTTACTAATTATGTCCTTCACACCAGGAATTGAGCTCAGCCAGTACTGTCACACTGATGGTGGATCCGTCTCTCCTTTAGATCAGCATGCAGGTCTTTATGTTTTTCAGGTATATCTCTGTATGTCTTTCTGTATAATTATAGATAATGATATAAATGGCCTGAAAATTTCGTAGCTAAAGGCTCTGTGTCATGAGCAGTTGTAGTCCACTGTCAGAAGCATTGGTCCTTCCCCGAGAATCATGTTCTACTTTTTCAAGCTGTTTTCCTGATCGTTCTTTGGACAAATATCGACAACATCCCGAGATGTTTATATAACTTAGTATTGGTCTCATCCTGTACTTTGTTAACTTCTTTTCACCTTTCCTCCTCCACATCCTTCTTTTGCCTGTAAAAGAGTGATTTCCCAAATAATTGAATCTAAAGTAGCAGTCTGTGTGGGCAGTTGCTGTTATGTCCTGCTTGTTGTCATCTTATTGTAAAGGAAAGCATTTATAAACAGAATTGCTAGCATAGAAACATTTTTCCTTCCAAGTAGGGAGATGCGGGTCTCTGTGACAGCAGTCTCTCCTTCATCCTTGCTGGATGAATCTCCTGGGACAGGGAAACTCTGAGTCTTCCCCCTGCTGTCTTGCTGCTAGTGAGTCCAGATGAACACGGCAATTCCTGATCTGTGAAATAAAGTAGGAGGCTGTGGGTTGTTTTCATTTATGGCCCACTGCAGCTTTTTATTTTTTTTGGTTTTTTGAGACAGGGTCTCACTATGTAGCTGAGACTGACAACCTGGAATTCACTATGTATCCCAGGCTGGCCTCGAACTCACAGCAATCCTCCTGCCTCAGCCTCCCGAGTGCTGGGATTACAGGGGTGAGCCACCACACCCGGCTTATTTAATGCAGCTTTTCTAATTGTTGCGGGCTTGGTGTCTAATAAAGTTGGTCTTCTTTCAGTGATGATAAACTTAGGAGAACCTTGATCACTCAAAATAAAAGTTCTAAAATCCTTAGGGAGGAAACTGAAGTCTGCAAGGTAATATCCTCCCAGAACCTTTAAGAAAGACCCAGAAACTCCTGGGGAGGAGGGTGACGGGTGTTTAGAGGGAGTCTAATATTTTAAAAGCTACAATTAGCATCTCTTTTGAAAGCTGCAATTGCTCTCTCACTTTTTGCAGCAGTTCAGCCCCCAGAAAAATGTAAAAATGATTTCCTTGTTCTGTCATTAAATGCTTCCACACAGAAAACAGGAATAAATGTTAAGGAATCCTTGTGGTTGTGACAAAATACTAAGGCACAGTCAGATTTTATTTGTATTAATTTGGCCTCTTTTGCTAGTCTTGCTGTCTCCACTGCCCAGTGCAATGCATGAGATTTCATTTTTGTCAACCCACTTACTGTAAAAATTTAGTTTCACTCCCTGACAGAGGAATGTTCAAATGCTTAAGAAATGAGGGACATGTAATTAGGGCGTGGGTGGGGTGGAAGTATTTTATTAAGCTGAAATTACTTATGGTATCTGTCTTGAATACTTGCCATGTTATATTTTTATGATACTTATCACGGAATTGCTGTTCATCTCTGCTGTCCTTACCTGACCCCCAAGGCTGGGTAGGTTCCCCCATGAGCTTCTCTGTACCCCACCTTGGTCTAATTGTAATACTCTTCTCACTCTGAATTTTCGTTGTCCACTAGACTAGCTCTCTGAGAACAGAGAAGGTATCTCTGGTTTCCATAGTTCTGGATACTATGCTTGGCCTGGAGGGGGCATCTAGAAAGTAGTTTTTCGGTTGGATAAAAGGAGGAATGAGTGTTTAAATGTGGTAAGAATGATTACTTTTTGTTTTAAAGATGGAAATCTTAAGGGTACGAGAGATTAGATATTTGGTACATAATCGTACTGCAAATACGCAAAAGAGCCATAATTAGAACCTAGGTTAGTTTTACTCAGGAAGGTCATCAAACATCATGTTGTGTATGAACTGTTATAGGTAATAATAGAGGGCTATGTATTGGATGTCTCGTTTTGTGAAGAACAGGATGGGAAAGCTGTGAAGAAAGGACAGTATTTTATTTTACTTATTTATTTATTTTTGGTACCAGGAATTGAACTCGGGTCCTTGCACTTGCCAGGCAGGTGGTGGAACCACTGAGCTAAATCCCTGGCCCCGAAAGGCTAGCATTTTAGTTGGGCTTTGTAAGGTGAAGAGGACCCTGCCAGGGATCTAGGGATAAAAGTAGAAGGGAAGGCAGGGCCATTTTGTGTAGAAGGAACAACAAAAGCAGAGATACAGCCTTAGTACTGTAATTAAGCCTTTAGGTTCTAAAGACAGGCAGGCCTACATTCAGAGTCTACCTCTGCCACTTTCTTTTGGGGAGAAAATTGAGCAATTTTTCTAGCCTCTTTGACCCTGAGTAAAGTGGAAATCGTAATAAAGAGAGGCAGATCTGCTTTGTGTATATGTTGCACTATCACACCTACATTGGTGTCCCTGAAGCTTACACAACTGTGTGAGACTTAGGGAATACAAATATACTTTTTGTAGATTTCATGTAAACATAGGACTGTGTGCTTGAAAGGAGTCGTTAACCTGTGGAGTACTGGCTCTAATGTGATAATGACAGTGATAAGAACATCTATGTAATCGGATGGGGTTTCCTGGGCTTATTGATAGCCCTCACTAATTGTTAGCAGCTGCTGTTCTAAGAGCAGAGTCATCCAGTGTAGCTAAAGCTGGGAGTGACACGAAGATGAGCCTGGAGAGTTAAGCTGGATTCCGACTGGGAAGTGGACAGGAGCCCTGTGAGTCTGGCGAGCAGGAGAGACCTGTAGCAGGTGGGATGAGTCTGGCCGACGTGTGGTGGAGGTCTGGGTGAGATGCTCTTGAGCTCTCTCTGTTGCCCTCACTTTCTACCTGGGCAGGTGTCTGTATAGGGATGCTATTCTTATTTAATGATTTTTTTCTAGGTTTCAACACACATTGTAGTATTGATACTATTAGATAATGGTATGTAGTATAATAAAAATGATGAATGTTTAAAGTTTTAAAAATTTGTTACGGTAAAAGACATGTTCCTGTTAATTCCCCACAAAATGCCACCCCCACTTATTTTGAACACATCCTGTCATTCTTGCCACATTTGAAAACAGTTCTAGAAGTTGTCTTTCTTCATTGCAGTGTCATTGAGGCCTTGATGTCTTGAATCACCTTAACATGTTTACCTTTCTTACATGGCCATTTGGACTTTGGGGAAGAGCCAGAAATTGTACAAGCCAGATCCAGTGAATAAAGTGGATGAGGACACACTGGGATATTTTTTACAAATCCCCATTTCCATTGGATGGCACCTGGCAGCAGCATTCACTGTATTTTTGATCACACTCATGAAACAGGATTACCAGAACTGCTTCAGAAAGTAGCAAGAATGATAGGGAAGTGGAATATTTTGAAAGGTACTGATGGCCATGTGTCTTTATTGCAGTAATTAAAAAATTAAACATTCATTG